CGGCCGGGCCTGCAGCGTGGCAGGCCTCACTGGAGCTGGTGCGGAGGCAGCTGCAGGACAACCCAGCCTACCTCTTGCTGAAGGCACGGTTCCTAGCGGTCTTCACCCTCCCTGCGCTCCTGGCCACTCTGCCCCCTGACGGCGTCCCCACCACCCTCTCGGCAGCCACAAGGTCAGGCCCTGATGACGAGGACCTGAGTGGGCTGGAGCCTGAGGACGGGGACAGGGACGAGCGGCCACACTGCACACCCCATGGGACACAGGCCGGGTCGGCACCCAGGAGCCCCGTGCAGGTGAGGGTGCCGGGAGGAGCAGCCTCACGTCTCTTCTGCTCAGGAGCTTTTAGCTGCATCTGCAAGGCCTTTCCCCTGCTTCCTCACAAGAACTTGTAACGGAAGTGTATGGGGCTCTCTGTCCTCCCACTGCACACTGTGAGCCCCCATGGAACCTCCCCTTTACCAGGCGGATCTCAGGCATTTGTGCCCCGCCCTAGGGGGACATGGCCTCTGTCCCTAGCTGTCCATGGCCAGCATGAGGCAGTGCCACTCTGGATTCCAGGCTTTGAGGCCCATGTGGCTGGGGAAGGAGGCTCCTGTGCTCATCTGCAGCTGCTCAGCCATTCAAGTCTCCTTTAAGGGGACTGAAGACCCTACTAGGGGAGAGGACAGCAGAAAGCTGGGGCCTGCGCAGACCCGTGAAGGCCTGGCTCAGCCCTGTCCTCGGGTCCTCCGCACCCTACTCCCTGTTCTGTCCCCAGGAGGCCTCACTCTCCCCTTACCTGGCTTTTATTTCAGGGAACCCCAAGCTCTGGCGAGGGCCTCGTCTCCTGCCTGGATGCCTCTGACGACCTGGATGTACTCAGGACCCGGCATGGCCGGCACGCCCGGAAGCGGAGGAGGCAGCAGTGAGCACAGGTGAGGCCTGAGGAGGCGGTCCGCACCCAGGAGAGGTGGTGCTGGGATCACAGGGCAGCAGAGTTCAGTGGGCAGGCTGGGCCTTCAGGGACATTTATCCCACCCTGTCCTCCATCTTCCCCACCCAGGGCTCTGTACCCAGCCTCTCCCACCCCTTCCTGCTGGCTGCGACATTGTCCCCTCTGCTCGGCATCCCTCCGGCTGAGACCACTTCCCTCCCCCACTGGGGTCATAGCACCTCCCTCCTGGCCTCCCCCAAGCTGGCGCTGCTCTCCTGGCATCTGTTTCCATGTCCCTCTGATGGTGTCAGCCTGCTGCCCACAGTGTCTCCTTGACCACTGGGACCCAGGACCTGCACAGCGGATGCCCGGGGTGGGGACCCTGAGTGCGCCGTGGCTGAGACCAGAGGGGAGGCAAGTGGGCCAGAGTGGGCAGGGCCAGGAGAGGGGCAGGCCCTGAAGCCTGTGGAGGAGGTTGCAGGCGGCCAGACAGTGCAGTTGGCTGCAGGTTGGGCCCACACACCGGGGCACCCCTCCGTTTCAGGACAAGGACTCCTGGGGCCCAGAAGCCCATGCCTGGCACCAGCAGAGGCAAGGCCACCCCACCCTGAAGAGGACGCAATCAGAGGCCACGCACTGCTGGCCACAGACTGATCTCTCCACATGGTATCCAAGCCGTCTCAGCTGGGCCCTAGCAGGAGTCTGGTGTTTGAAGGAACAAACTAAATGCCATTTTTTAATTAAAAGCAGGACAGACTTTTGTGGTTTTGTTTTGAGCACTGGGCAGCGTGCCCATCTCAGGCTGCCAGCCTGGGCCTCTGTGGTCACCACAGTCAGCTCTGGGGGTGTTCCTGGCACTACCACGGGATTCTCACAGCCTCCCACACCCTGGCCACCTCCCAGCACCTCGTGGAGCATGGGGAGGTGGGGAGGACAGGAGTGGCCATGGCGCTGCCCACACCTTGCCCAGCTGGCTCCCCAGAGCCATAGTCGGTGGCTTCCTGCAGCTGGCAGCAGCTCCCTTCCCCTCTGAATTCCTTCTGTGCTGGCACCACGTGGTGGGGGCCAGGCCGCGGCCCCTCCACCTGCCCTTCCCTGTGATGCGGGCACCTGTGTAGTCCCAGCCCGAGGCTCCTGCAGACTTCCACTCGGCTTCAGCAGTTGTCAGCTGCTGGGTGCCCTTCCAGGGCCTGTGCCCTCTGCCAAGCACCTGCTGTCCTTGGGACTTCCTTTGCCTGTGGGGTTTTAGAGGTTTCTTCATTTCAGACATTTGGGGATTTTCCAGATATCTTTGAGTTACTGACTCGTACCTTCAGGTGGTGTTTTTAAGAGCATACACCCCTAGGAAGACCCATTATCCCCTCTCATTGATGGCGAACACTGGGTCGGGGGGCTCAGTGCCAGCTTCCCAGCCCTAATCCCTGTGCTGGCATGGAGGAGGCTCAGGCAGGCAGGATGTCTAGCAGTGCTGCCTCCAGGCTTGTGGGGTCACTGCCACACCCGTGGAGCCCAGCCCAGGCACAGGGTGCCCGGGGGTCTAAGGCTGAAGGAAGGGGCTGTTGGGGAGCCCTGCTGTGCTCCAGCTTCCTGCCTTTCCTGCCCGCTGCCTCCTTGGTGGCTATTGCCTCAACCCAACCCAGCAAGCCAGGTGGCAGTGCTGTCAAACCAGCTACACCGGCTGAGGTGCGGCCTAGGGGTTTCCCTTGCCCGTCTCAGGGCTGAGGCCTGAGGGCCACCGAGGTGGGGACAGAGGCCCAGTCTACAGAAGACCCCTATGCAGTCAGCAGCAGCCTCTGGGGGCTGCTCTGATCCACTGCATGTGTCCCAAGGGTGCCCGCATGGTGAGAACCGAGGTCAGGTACTCAGGTCGGGCCGTGGGCTGGTGGCAGTGTGAGGCTCACAGGCTGGGCCCTGACTTCCTGTGGGCTGCAGCAGCCTCCTGAGCCCCATGTCGTGCGCCCTTGGCTGTCCCCTAGGGTTCCTCTCGGGGCTGCCAGCTCTCCATCACCCCTATAGGCCTGACCTCTGTGCCTAACTCCGTCAGCAGGTGGAGGTGTCAGGAACAGGACACCTTGGTGGAGACACCTCCGGAAGTTGTGTCGAGGTGGGGTGGGGTGGAGGGTGGGGGTGGCCTCCTCCAGCTCTAGGGGTACCTTTGCCTCCCCTTCTACATCTCCTGGTGCCAGGACCTAGGACCCAGCCCTGGGCAGGAGATAAGGCTCCGCTCCTGAGGACTTCCACTTTCCTGGGCTCCACCCAGAGCTATTGGGCTGGCCAATCAAGGCAGGCCAGCAGGGACTGTCCCCCTGCGGGAGAACCCAGAACCCATCAGGAAGTGCACAGCCTGCCTCCCCGGCTCCACACTCCCTCCAGCCCGGAGGCAAGCAGCATCTCTCAGACACTTGGCAGCTGTAGCCAGGGCCAGTGGGCAGGTGGCTCTGTCAGGACCCTGAGGTAGGACGGGCTGGCACTTTTCGGAAAGGTGACTGGGCGGGGAGGACCGGCATCAGCTCTGCCTGGGTCCTGGGCAGGTGCCCCAGAGCAGCCTCCAGCGCCCACAGGCTGGAGGTGGGCCTCCACGTCCAGTCCGATGTGGGGCCACGGGAGGGTTGGGACTAGACAGGCAGGCGATGGTCTAGTGGTCCAAGGACCACTGTCACTGGGACTCCGCACAGGATGGCAGGAAGTACAGAAGAACTGAGAAGTCCCTCAGGACTGGGCCTGCCATAGCAACTTTTTGGCTAGGACCCACAGCCAGAGGCACAGGCCCTGGCTGCAGTCGCCTTGGCCAAGTCCTGAAGTAGCAGCTTCACCTGTGCGCTGTCAGTGGGGGTCCCAGTGGTGGCCATCCCCAAGCGGGTGGCCGGGGCCAGACCTTATCAGGGCCGGAGCGCTGGGGGTGGTAGAGAACCTTGAGAAGTTACCGCAGCAGCTCCCGGCTAGGGGAGACGGAGCCTTCCTCTCCCAGTGTGCCTGCACCCGGCAGGGTGAAAGCCGTGCTCCACCGGCAGACCTCACCAGCCTTCCCGGGGCAGCTCAGTGACAGGCAGCTGCCGAGGTCTTGCATCAGCAGCCGACGGAAGGGTAGGAAGGACAGGAGGGCACTGGCCTGTCGGGAATGAGGAAGTGGGAGGGCCACCACCAACCTGCCTGTCACCCAGCCTGGGGGGGCTGCAGGGCCCTTGGGGTGTGGAGGCAGAGGCCAAGTGGGTGGTAGTGCTGGGAGAGTTGCCCTCGGACCCACCTGCCCTTCCTGAGGCTCGGAGAGAACACGGAGGCGGCAGTGGAGGTGAAGGGGCACGGCTGGCCCCGAGGGCTGGCGGTCCCTGTGCCTCAGCAGCTGTCCCCGACCCCAGCCGGCCGCCCACCATGTCGGACTACGAGAACGACGAGGAGTGCTGGAGCGCCCTGGAAGGCTTCCGCGTGAGGCTCATCTCCGTCATCGACCCCTCGCGCATCACGCCCTACCTGAGGCAGTGCAAGGTCCTGAACCCCGATGACGAGGAGCAGGTGCTCAGCGACCCCAGCCTGGTCATCCGCAAGCGCAAAGTGGGTTAGTGCCACACCCAGCACCCCGGGAGCCGAGCTGGAAAGGGGCCGAGAGGGGCCAGGCCCGCGTTGTCCTGCGTGAGCAGGCAGCACTTTGTCCTCTGCTGGCAGGGCCCAGGAGTGTGGAGGGGACGCTGGCAGCCCGGGGTCCACCCTTGCCCAGCGTGCCCGGGCCAGTGGCCCCCTCTGCTTGCCCCGGGCCGGCCTCAGCCTGCTCTGCGGCCTGCAGGTGTGCTCCTGGACATCCTGCAGCGGACTGGCCACAAGGGCTACGTGGCCTTCCTGGAGAGCCTGGAGCTTTACTACCCGCAGCTGTACAAGAAGGTCACCGGCAAGGAGCCCGCCCGAGCCTTCTCCATGATCATCGGTGAGGGGTGGGGCGGGACAGAGCCGGGCCTCGTCAGGCCCTGAAGAGGACAAGACCTATACTGGGGGGGGGCGGAGCCTAGACGTAAGGCCGGGCAGATGGGGTACCTGTGGGTGGAGCAGAGAGCCCATCTGGGTCAGGGCCTATATGAGAGAGGGGCCAGGGGCGGGGTCTGATCTAGGCTTACTGAGGGAGGGGCCTATACGGAAGGGGAGGTGGGACCTGTACAGAGGGCGGGGCGGGTCTGAAGCAGGCCCCACCCCATCCCTCTGCCCTCCAAGCCTCAGGTGGGCCCTGAGTGGAAAGGTTAGCCTAGAGCAAGAGTGTCTGTCCTGCCCCTCAGGGTGTGGGGGTCCTGCTGGCTTCTAGAGGAGGCCAGTGGGGTGGCTGCAGCGGTGTGGGCCTCGTGGCCTTAGCACCGTCCACCGCTAGTGAGTGGCTCAGACCTCCTGAAGCCCCATCTCCTGGGCCTGTCGGATATTTCCCAGCCTGGACAAGGGGGCTCCGGGTCAGTGTGGGGATCGCTGGGTCTCTGCCTGAGCCTATCCTGGAGCGGCCATCCTGACTCAGCCTGCTGCCTCCTGGGCCCCAGACGCGTCGGGGGAGTCAGGCCTGACGCAGCTGCTGATGACCGAGGTCATGAAGCTGCAGAAGAAGGTGCAGGACCTGACAGCGCTGCTGAGCTCCAAGGATGACTTCATCAAGGAGCTTCGCGTGAAGGACAGCCTGCTGCGCAAGCACCAGGAGCGCGTGCGGCGGCTCAAAGAGGAGTGTGAGGCCGGCGCGCGCGACCTCAAGCGCTGCAAGGACGAGAACTACGACCTGGCCATGCGCCTGGCCCGCCTGAGCGAGGAGAAGGGCGCCGCGCTCATGCGCACCCGCGATCTGCAGCTGGAGGTGGACCGGCTGCGCCACAACCTCATGAAGGCGGAGGACGACTGCAAGGTGGAGCGCAAGCACACGCTGAAGCTGCGGCACGCCATGGAGCAGCGGCCCAGCCAGGAGCGGCTGTGGGAGCTGCAGCAGGAGAAGGTCCTGCTGCAGTCGCGGGTGCAGGAGCTGGAGGCCGCGGC